AAGTTCCCTGCATGCACAATGACCGCTGCACACATCACTTCCCAAAAGAATACTCCGACCAAACCACGTGGAATGAAGAAAAAGGCTATCCCATATACCGTCGTCGTGCCCGAGACAATTGAGGAAAAGTTATCATACGTGAAAACGATGAGATTGATAACTTTTAGGTTGTGCCTTACAACCCCTTCCTCCTCTTACGTTATCGCTGTCATCTGAACGTCGAAATCTGCGCCTCCACCGCTGCTTACTGATATATGTTCGAATACATTATGAAAGGCTCGGATCGAGCTATGGTCGGCGAAATGACAAACGCTAATGATAAGATTCAAACATTCCAAGACATGGGTACAATCGGTGCTGCCGAAGCATGTTGGAGAATCTTTGATTTTTCTCTTTCCGAACGATACCCTGTCGTTTCTGCACTACCTGTACATGCTGAAAATAAACAACGAGTTTATTTCCGCCCAGGGAATACTAAGTGTCTAAGAAATTTGTCTCCACCAGAAAATGAACTTACCGCGTGGTTGAAATGAAACGCTGCGCATGTTGATATCGCCCAAGAAAGAAAGCCTTTATAAAAAGATATAATCCATCAATTTCGATATGACAAAACAAAAAAAAAATAGATATTGCGACGACGAAGAACAAATACAATCGGACGAATACACACTATTCACCCAAATGCAGGTGGCACTTTTCATCTCTGAATGCTACTTTTGTCACCCCATTTCGGAGGAGCCACGTCGTTTGAGAACCTGCAAACTGTTGATAACGAAATTCACCCAACGTATCAATCAGCATGTCGTGCATTAGGTCTACTCAACGATAATACTCAATTCGATGTTGTCTTACAGGATGCAATCTTTACTGCTTCTTCTGCGATGGTTCGAGACTTACTTGTCCACATACTTTTACACTGCGCACCAGCTGACCCTGCCGAGCTGTTTGAAACACATTGGCTACAAACGATTGATGACTTCCAAAGAGACCTTCATGACGCAAACATCCCTTTTCCCCTCATCAAAACCATGGTGCTTCTGGATATCGACAACTGTCTACAAAAAGAAGGCAAACAACTCGCAGATGTTGGCCTAATTCCCCCACCTGTCGACGATCAAAATGTTGCAAACGCTTTGGCCGAGAGACCCCGTCGCCGTAACATTCCACAAGTTGCCGAAGATGAAACTTCCTATGATAAACAAACACTTCAAAAAACATTAGACACAAACTTTCCACTCCTCCGCCCATCCCAATGTGCTATCTTCACTCGAGTCACAAACGTCGCAGACAATAACGAACCACTATGTCTCTTTGTTCAATACCATTCTTGCATATATTCGAAATCAAGATCGCGTCGCACTTGCTGTAGCGTCAAGCGAAATCGCAACAACACTCTTACACGGCGGCCGAACATTTCACTCTCGATTCAAAGCACCTCTTACCCCGACAATAACCTCTACACTCGATATTCCAAAACAATCTGCACTAGCACAACTATTACCGATGGCAACTGTTATCCTGTGGGACGAGGCACCTATGACACACAAATTCCATATCGAGGCACTTGATCGTACCATTCGTGACATTCGTTCCTCGAACTCTATTTTTGGCGGTAAGATTGTTGTTCTTGCAGACGACTTTCGCCAGATACTACCTGTCATTACAAAAGGAACACATGCACAAACTGTTGATGCGTGCATAAAGTCGTCAACACTTTGGGAACATTTTGAAACAATGCATCTCTTTGAAAATATGCGCGTGCTCACCCAGATTAACACATCTGAAGGTCACGAATACTCTGCATGGCTTCTTGCCCACCCCCTGCTCACGTTGAACATCCCACCATTGAACTCCCGCCTCATCTATGCCTATATGAAGGAACACAACAACTTATAGCTTGGACATTCCCACACCTGCAAACAAGTTCCTGCAATCCGCTTTGGCTCGCAGAACGCTTAATTCTCGCACAAAAAATCAAAACGGTCTCTACGCTCAATTCAATAATCCTCGAGCAATTCCTTGGAGATTTTATCACATGCCTCAACGCTGACACACTCCTTCCCGATGAGAATTACCCTGATGTGCCTATTGATGCCCTTAATGCAATCGACATACCAACTCCTCCTCCCCATGTCCTTTGAAACATTACCATGCGAAATGGTATGTGCAATGGTACACGATTAATGGTCGATACCGTCACAAACAACAGACTTCTGCATGCGCGCATTCTCCCTTCACTCCAATCTGTTCTCCTCCCACGAATTCTTATAACTGTCACCGATCAAACTCACCCGTTCCCTTGGCAAAGACGCCAATTCCCTATTCGGCTTGCTTTCGCGATCACTATAAATAAATCCCAAGGCCAATCAATTAAACATGCAGGAATCGACCTCCAATAAACGTCATTCGCACATGACGAATTTTACATTGCCGCATCAAGGGTGGGTGACCCGTCGCACATTTGCTTCTCCCTACCTGCCAACAATAACCGAACCACTAACATAATCTACAAAGACATTCTCACTTGAATTCCCCATCTTGACATTTAACTCCATTCTCTCTTTGCCGTCCTTGCAGGTCGCCCCCAAGCCACACCATCGCGCAAAAAAACGAAGTCAGTATCATCAACAAGCTCACCTCCCGAACCTACAACGATATCCACAATGAGATCTACAACCGCAACTACATCGACGTCTACAACTACTGCTACCTTCGTCTCTGCAGCAATTGTTCTCACCGCTATCGTTGCAGTGCACCAGATATCATTGCCAACTTTGTCTCTGATTGGTCTCAATGATGATATTCTCACACAAATTCCACTCCCCTCTCCTACCTCCTCCTCACACCTTCCCGCAACAACACTCACAACTGCCCACCTGTTTCCGACCAATCCCCAATCCGCTCCTTTGACCGACTCCACAATTGTTCACCCCACAACTTCACTCCCTGCTGCTCATTCTTCTCACACAATCTCCACCTCAGCCATTCCTTCCACCTCTCGACACACCACCTCCACAACCGGCTTCGTCAGATGGGATGATTGGCTCCGATTGCTGAACAAAGACAACATTGAAGACATCGTCACCCAAATATTGTGGGAGGACTTCCTGACAACTGATCATGCTGCGTTCTCACCACACCTCAATGATTTCCTCTCCCTCTATAAACACAACCGAATGCAATCTCTACAACGCCCTGAGCCGTCCACTAACATCAACATCCAATTCCAGCGCGCAAAAACATTCCTCCTCAAACTTATCAACGATGACGACAACGGGACTCCCGCAATACCAACATGAACGGATCACTACTGCATATCATAAACACTCTTTCATTACGAACATCCCGCCGCCACACCAATCCTCGTTACAACCCTATGCACCTCGTGAACCCGACCCCCTTCGGTGGCTTCCGCTGGAACCTCGGGGTGCAACAAGAGCCACCGCCGTCATTCACGACCTCCTCCTATCACGCCATACCTTCCCCATCTACAACATCCCCCACCCACGTCGCACATGGGAATACCTAAACGACCTCATCTTCCTTCACCGTCACGAAACGCGTCCCCTCCCTCCCTTCCCCGCTTTCAGAGCGGATATCATTCGACGAGCCACCACCCTTCTCCAAGCTCAAGGACCATCCACACGATGAATCCCTTATCGACTGCACTATTCGAGAAAGCCAGAAAGAGAGAGAGAGACCTGCTTCGAAAACCGCATACCAAGCCGGTACAGCGACAAGGCCGAAGCCCGCGCCAACATCATGGTTATTTTTTTTCGTTGAAGACCCGGCGCCCACGGACCCGCGCGAAAGCAAGTCAGGAAAAGACCGCGCCCAAACGAAGGATGGCAAACACGAACAGTACAACGTCAAACGTAGCGACGCAAAGGGGCACACAAATCATGTGTGTGTAGAGAGACGTTACAGATTGAACTTACATCAGTATGCCATCATGGTTTTCGAATGCTCCCACGGACGCTATGCTAGAGGAATGTGAGGGGATCGTCTCTCCCCTCGCATTCCTCTATCCCTCCTTCTCTCCTCCTTCCTCTTCTTCCTCCTTCTTTCCTCTTTCTTTCTTTCTTTCTTTCTTCCTTCCTTCTTCTTTCTTTCTTTCCTTCTTTCTTTACCTCGTTCTCACTTTGTTACGAGTCCATGTATGCCATCATGGTTTTCGAATGCTCCCACGGACGCTATGCTGTCTATCTTGTATTGGAAACTGCATGCTAGACAACCGTCTATCACTCGTCCAATCATTTATTAGCTTGTTAACCACTGCACAGCTACGTAGAATGGTGGATTAGCTTTCGCTTTTCTCGATACTGACTGCGTATCGGACTCCCGGGATTATTTCACTTGATGGCTGGTAAACTCCAACGCTGCTCTTAATTTTTTTCTTCTTATTACTATTCTTTCTTTCCCTTCCTCCTCCTCCTCCTCCTCCTCTACTCCTCTTTCTCATTGTTCGATCGTCCTCCTTCCTCTTGTTTAGCTCTCTCCCGACTATCTTCGTATTTCTTTCTTTCCTCCCCCTCCTCCTTCTCTTACCCCCCTCTACTCCTTTCCGCCGCTCGATCGCTCACCTATCTCTTGATTACCTCTTGATTAGATCTTTCCCGATTTATCTGCTACTGTCCTTTCTTTTCCTTTTCATTCACTCCATCATCCACCCCGACATCTACTATTGATTCATCCTCTATTCGCTTGATCTCTTCCCCTCCACCTCGGGTGGATCTGATCTACCCCCTTTCCCCGTCCTCACTCTTAGCTATCTGCGTGTTTACTGCAAAGTTACGAAGATTCGAAGATGGGGGACACTCGCACACCATACGGGTGTTGCAACTACTGCAAACAATACGGACACTTCATCCGACAATGTCCACTTTTGAACCGAGGAGATGGTCTTATCTCCGAAACACCAATCACTCCGCCTCAAGCAACGACTGCTCAATACGCTCCAAGTGCTCCTCCCCTTCCTTCAGGGATGACTGCGGATGCAGCAGCTCCGTCTGCTGCTGCTCCACCTGCGCGACCAAGATCTGCATCTCCAGCTCCTTCAGCTTCTAACGCTATCTTTCCTTACCAGCCAAGACCACACTCCGAGCAGTACAATGGCGCGGCGAATTGGAACAACCAATACCGCGGCAACCAATCGGAGATCGCGGCGCTGCTTCGCAAATTGGTTAACAGCGATAGGGAAAAACGGGAGCGAAAACGGGAGATCGAGGAGAAGAGGGCGAAAGAGGAATTGCTCGCCAAGGAAAAAGAGGAGGAGAAACAGAAGCGTGAAGATGAAGAGATGAAAGAAGCCGCCCGAGAGGCCAGATTGGCAAATCTTATGGCGGAACAACTAGCCGCGTTTGAGGCAAGGAAGAAGAAGGAGACTGATAAGAAGGAAGATGAGACTGTTTTCAAGAAAGACCCTGCGAAAGGGAAAGGCATAGCCACTGAGGAGATGCCGAAGAAGAAGGGCGGCTGCTTGAAGATAGGTGAGGGAGACAACAAGAAACGGAATCAGGACGTTCTCAGAGGAGGATCGCCGGTGCTACCAGACACAGGAAGACAGAAGACGGAAGTGGATAACGGGTTCAATGCACTTGATGCCGGACTCTTCTTGATGAACCTCAACAGGGTCACGCGTGCAGTCGAAGCTCAACAGGCAGCCTTTAGCCAGATGTTGTCCAACATGACTACGGCTCCGCTCCCCCAGAACCCGCCGCCTACCGCCCGCATCACTCCCCCCCTCCTCCTGCACATCGTCAAGCCTACACCTGTCTCTTATACACATCTAGATGTGTATAAGAGACAGCACACACACACACACACATATATTTTCAACCTTC